ATTTGACTAATTTACTTATTTGCGTACTTATAACAAGTGTTCAAAATGATGACGCTGAATATCGACACATTTTCTAAAACGTGTCGACACAGATAATACTGTACGACGAATTTCATTCAGATTAATCGCAACGCAAGCTCTTCTTGTACGCTCTTTCATGTCTTCTCTTGTTATTGGCATTTCGCTGTACACTTGTTTTAACTTTTCTCGTAAAAATCCATAGGTGTTAAATCTGGGGAACATGCGGCCCATCTGTTATTTCCTGACCGACCAATCCAAATTCTCTCTGGAGATTTCCAAATTCTCTGTTTAGCAATTCAATAATATCCGTGCAGAATGAGCAGGACACCTTGCTGATACCACATTGATTGTCGTACGTTCAGTGGAAGATTTTCTAATAATAGTGGCAATATTTCTGTTATCTGTGCATACTTGCGACTATTTAATGATCCATCAATAAAATTAAAACTAATTATTTTATCATTAAGAATTCCGGCCCAGACATTTATAGACCAAGGTCTCTGCCTGTTTCACTTCTCTCATCCAATGTGGGTTTTCTATTGACCAATAATGCATATTGCGAGATTTACTTGTCCATTGTTTGTAAATCTTCGTCAGTAAATAAGATTTTACAAACATATCGATTTTAAAAATCATTGCCATGTAACTCTTGATGAAATTAGATGGAAGGGATGAAATTTGTTGGAATGGAGTATTCGTAGAATGTTTCGTCGCCTAATATCACTTTCACGGTCAAGTTGTCTTGTACTGTATGTAAATTTAGTGCTACAGTGGCTAAAATGTTCGTTGAATTTTTGTCGTCAGTTGCTTTTTTTATTCGTTTGCGTTTTTTATTAGCATTGCGTTTTTTATCACATTTTCTGTTTCTTGAAAAGTTTGTACTATATTTGAAAAAAACAGAAAATGAGGGATGGACACAATCAGGAAATCTTTCAGCATACAAATGTACTGCTTTTCTCATAATTTAATGACATTCACCATAGACGAAAATCATATCGACTTTTTCCGCTTTCGTATGTTATAACGCATTTTGCACTTTGATCGATAGATGAATTCAAATTGATCAGTAAATATGGATAATGCTATAAGCGATTCAATTTAAACGGTATGTAAATATTTACATACACTTGAACGATTAGCGGAATACCAACAAGAAGAGAAGACACAAAAATATTAAATAAGAGTGCCTTGAAACAATTTATTTTCCATTACATTCAATTATTTTCCATTATTGACCTTGCATAACCTTGAATGACCTTCAATTATAGATCATTGTATTCGTCTTAAAATGCTCTATCAGAATGTAAATAAAAAAACATATCATTCCATTTAAAAAATAGATTTGATCTTTGCCTATCCTTTACGCCTCCACCTACAAAACAATTATTGTGACATCACATTATGTGCCCCTCGAAACCAAGCAACTTTTGTTTGACACTTTTTTTTCTATTGTTAAAAACAAATGAGTTATTCAGATAACCTGTTTTAAATACCCCTCCTTATACTTGCATATGTACATATCATATTTATAGTCATTCCAACTGCGCACCAAATTCTTTCGGACTTATAAACGCAATTAAACTACTGTAGTAATATCGCAAATTAAATTTTAATAATTTAATGGTCAATCAGACATCCTATTAAGAAGATGTTAATATGCTGAAAAACTGTAAATAAATTTATTGCAAAAAATATTACTTCGGCTGTTTTGTGCAATCTTAGAAATATGATATGTAGGGACGTAAGAGCAAGTTGCTCACTTAGATGTTCGTCGCCAGCTCGAAAGCAAGTTGTAGACAAAGACGGAGAGTCAAATTCGTATCTCTTGTATTCCATACGATCGTCCTAAGCCTTTAAACTACTTGTAGATTCTTATTGTAATTATTTATATTAAAACACTATAAAATAAATTATTTGTGATTGTGATTATGAAAAGTAAACGATTACAATTTTTACAATTTTTGTACAATTTTTTTTAACATAAAAATGATTATAACTCCAAAATAACTTATTTCCGGATCTATGCTTAGATCAGCTTTTTTCCTCCCTTTTGGGTCCTGAATCACTTCCCGAAGCATTATGGCTGATTTTCTGGACATCCTGTGTGTGTGTG